CCGGCGGGTACAAGATAATAAAGTAACAGTTACCGTATACCCCGAGACAGTTAAGGCAGCTAACTCCGTCGTTAGTGATTAAAATTTTATTTATCCTCGCTCGTAAGCGTTATTCCCCCCTCCCCGTGCAATCAAAGCGTACTCGGGCAATTGCTGGCGAATCAGATGGAAGGTATTTTACCGCCGCCTCGCTTTTCCCGAGCGCATTTCCCGCGCGCGTCAATCGTCGCGCTTCCTGTACGCCGATCCGGCATTAACGGCCGATGAAAATGAAATTTTGCTCGCTCGATCATCGCGAGTCACACGGGCCGGCCGTAAACCTATACGGCCGTTCGATTATGGCGAAGTCGTTCGTTAATTTTTTCGCCGGCGTATCGGGAGAAAGCCGACCGCCGCTCGCGCTCGCGCCCGCTCGCGCGACGACGTGGACGTGGATTATGTCGTAACGTCGTGGCGCGGTGCAATATTGTTTATGAAAAAGATCCCGCAAACGGACGCGAGCACGTGCAGCCGATGCCACCGCTGCGGCTGCTGCTGCCGCAGCCGCCGCTGTCGTCGCTGCACCCTCCGTCGCGCCCGAGAAAACGGGCCGGTCGCGGGCCGCATGATTATGAAACTTTTTTAATTACGTAACGACGAGGCTCGCGCGCGGCGAAAATTCTCGCGCGCGCACTGCGGTTTTGCGGGGCCCATGGCGTGCATATGGAGATTTCGCGGTATCCACGCAGATACGCGGAGAGAAGCTGCGCGGACTGAATTAATCGTGACGAACGCTGGAGAACCACTCGAGATATCGATGGCGCTTCTAATGGTCGGGAATTTTCCGCTCTGGGAGGAGCGGAGTGAAACTGCGCGCCGCGATGCGCTGGAGTCGAGCGGAATTGAGAAAGAAAGAAAGAGCGAATTTCATTAAGAAGAGCCGGGGGCAAGGCGTGTCGTGTCTAACGCCGCTCCTCGCGTAAATTAAATTCGCATTGCGAGTGTGTATACAATCGCTCCGCGGAATCCGACGATTGAAAGTGAACGTGGTGGACGCGTTAGAACGCGTTAGACGGAGCGGGGCGATGAATTACTCACGGGCGAAAGAGAGGCGTGGAGAAGGAGAGAGAGAACGGTCGATTGGGGTATCCGTCGAGGTTACGGAAAGCTTACTCCGCCTAATCGGCCAAGTGGTATCGGCTGTACGAGGTGAATTCTCGATTTAGATAAACCCAGCGATAAGAACGCACACGAACGCTACCGTGGCTCGATTGAAAGTTAAGGCGCTCGAGGAGTGTCTTGCCCTATAAATCGATAGTCTATTATATTCATCGGTTCGTGTTCGCCGTCTCGCGGGTCGTCGAAAGACTGCGCCCTCAGAAAGGATTTCTGTTACCGAGACAAAATATATTCTTGACGCATTTACGTTTCTCACAACCTCATTTAGCATAAAATTAAGACGATATCAAAATAACATCAATCATTCTTATTCTCCCGTATCGAGTTAAAAAAGATTGGCTTCCTATATTGAGACAAGAGTAACTTATATAAATGCAAGTTTAGAATAAATTTTCCCTCCATCTTACAACGCACGAAATTGGCACCACTATATTCGACAAGAGACGATTCTAGACTTGAGAATTTTTGATTTGAGATTAAAATATCCCTTTCTCTATAATAAATATGATTGGCGCTACATCGATCCTATTTTATGATACATTGAAGTGTAATAGTATTGGATCCGGAATTTTTTTCTGTGCGAGTGATGACGAGACAACCCTACACCCTCGGAAAGGATTTCTGTTACTGAGACAAAAATATTCTTGACGCATTTACATTTCTCACAACCTCATTTATTATACAGGGTGAGTCTTTCCATAGCCGACAAAATTTTTGAGAAGGTAGAACGGATCGAGATGAACGGAAAAGTCCTGTACCATTTTGCAATTTTCGTAATAGTTAACGAGTAATTAATTATTAAAAATCGTTGTCTTAGGCCGGCCTACCGCCCAATTCGAGCGCGTGGCGAGATGTGCGCATAGCAATATCGATCGCCGGGCGGTCACATCTCGCCACGCGC